TCATCATTTCTTTTTAAAGAAGGGATCCCTGGTAACTGGGTTAGAACCGAACTTAGTTTTTATGTGTTCTTGCAACAAACCTCAGCCACTCTATGTCATGGTGTCAAGCTCAAGTTGACTATTGTTGGTGGCAGTTATTCATGTTGGCAGAGTGGTGTCGAGTCAGTGATGATGCCCATGTGGGGGATTAGCCCCAAATATCACCCCTTGAATAAATCTCAAAAACATGTAATCCCAACTCAAAGCCTAGGTCCTAAAGTTCCGAATTTTTGAACCCCTATTAGTCGAATTGCACATTTAGTGACATGATGATAGCATAGACACAAAAAATGAAATTCTGAGTTTTGTTTTTAACTGTAGCTGGGAACAAGGCCAAAAGACAAAAAGGGAAAGAAACAAAATTAATTTGCGCGAGAAGCAACGACTACACTCTTTATTATTAGACTGCAATAGTTTTTGCTCAGCCTCTATTTTTTTAAGAAAATTTTCGTTTTGAGCCCTAATATGTTCTTAGATACATCCTTATTTTTTTTAATCCGATATGGTTCAGGAAAAAATCACTTGCTCTCGAATAGAAAACACCTTCTCTTTCTTTCCCCGACGTCTGTCACTAGAGTTTAAGCATGACTCTTCCCCTTCCCAATTTCTCCCAGAACAATAATCAGTGCTCTTCTGAGAAACGTCTATTCTGAACGGTAAAGTATTTTGTTAAACTTGGTCTGGGAGATGCTTTTCTAGCTATTTAGAAGGTATGGTTTAAAAAATTTTCTTTCGCGTCGGCCCCAACCATGGTGGGTCCTCCTACATCACTAAGCGCGATTCTCAGCCGCTCAGGCTAAACTTCCTCATAGGCAGGGCATTCCTCTGAACCATCGACCGCATTGCCTAACCTTTGTTGTCTCGGCTGATTATGGAACAATATGGTATAACGAATAATTTAAGCCCTTACAACATTTTCAAAAATTCATCAAAGTCACGTTACCGATGACGTCAAAAAAGTTATGTTTCCTAGACTCAAAACCATTGCAACTTCTCAAGTATACGTCTGACTTCAATATAAATGCTAGATTCGGGCTCGCCTGAAGGAAAGCTTTCCAATGATATAGACACATCAGTATTTTTACGATGTCAGCAATTTTCAATGATGACGTCATCCCTCTCAAAATGGCCGTCGAACAGTACATTTTTTGACAAAAGCTCTGATCTAATCAACTGCATTTCTGGATCGTTTTGTGGCAATGTTTTGTCAGGTAATTATTCTGCATCACTCAATTTAACGTATAAATCCTCGAATTGCCCCCCTCCCCCTCGAAAAAGCCCCCACCCTAGAACTACAAAATGTCAATAAGCCCCCCTCGAATAAGCCCCCACTGCTACCATAAATTATCGAATGGGACCTTTCAATTTGATGATTTTTGCCATCTGAGGTTGCCTACGGCGTTGTCTACAATAATTTTATAACCCCCCTCGTATCAGCCCCCCTCCCCTTCGAATATGCCCCCATCCAAAAATATAAGAAATAAATAAGCCACCAGGGGGCTAATTCGAGGATTTACGGTATATATTTGCCTCAAATCCATTTACCGCCAGAATCCTCCGACGAACTGAAGTCATAAACTTCCCGTTCACTCTCTAGTTCATCAGAAAGTTCAGTGCTACTTAGGTAAGAGTCTACCTGGTCTGTTGTTTCCTTGTATTCGTTACTAGCACCGATTTCGTCGACACTACGGGCCTATTTCGGTACCTCAGTACATCTCTTGTATTTCTTTGGAGCAGGGAGATTTTCACTGCCACTTTCGACATCTGCCCCAACGTTTTCTGAAAGTCGGCTCTTGTTTTTCCGTCTTGACTTCAAAGAAGGAGGCAGCAGGGGGCACGTGAAGCAAAAAGATTTCAAGGAAGACTCTTCAGAAGACCCTTCCAGCCACAACTTTCGAAAAAAAGTCTTGACGGATGGTTCTACGCAACGCAATCAGCAGTAGGCTATCTTCTAGGAATGTGAATCAGAAGGGAGTTAAATGTTACTTTCATTTTGTTATACATTTTTAGTCTTGTTTCCACATAGCTTCTCTTGACCTTGCCAGAATACATTACCATTTGAACAAACTTCTGAAAATCTTCTATATCGCTATCACTAACCACTTTTTCTTCTCCAAGGCTGTCAAGCAGTTCAAGGTATCGCGGGCTCTTGATGACTGTCTTCAGCAACCTTACCTTTCCTACGTTGCGGAAATAGGATTTAGAATTACACCCAATAAAGCATGTAAAGCCTGTAGATTAAGGCAAACATCTCTTCCGAAATGGGAACCATTTGCGTTTTACATGGAGAAAAGCAAAAGCCAAATGTGTCTTCCTTCAGAAATCAGTCTTATGATATCAATTTGCTTCTAATTTTGATACAGGAGCTCGTGGCATTTATATCCTTGCAACATGTTTTGGTAGTACACTTCTAAATGACCTCTTGCCCAAGTTCACCAACTTATACCCAGCTTCAGGAGCAACAAATTTGATAAGGCTGTGCATCAGCGCTCGGTACGTTGGCATCGGCTTGATGGAGCGAATTGCTACCACTCCGTCTACTATCCAAACGGCAGACTTCGGAGGCATGTCTTTGATCCATTGCCACTCTTCGAGCAAGAGTCGTTGCAAAGTTACTTTGTCTGACTGACACAATGTTAAACCAGCTGTAGCGATAGCAATTGAAAGAGGAACGCTTGTCATGGGATGAGTGAATGCCTCTTGCAGACTTCCTGTCTTCAAAATGAGTAGTTAAAGGCCTGTTTTTGTGTTCCTTGGCCACGGTAGGTGTCACCTTGACCTTTTCCAGATCTGCCTTCAGCTTTGTTTTTTGATCGGCGTGAAGAATTAAATGCTGCCATTAATCAGGCGATCATTTGTGAAGCGATGCATATTCCCTTCTCCTATGATCGACGCTGCAAGGAGGTCAGTAGGACTTTATTGATATAGTTCTTCACCAGTTAAAGTCGATTTCGCAGGTGTAACAGAAAACCGATTGGTGCCATAGCTTCGAAGAGTTCTCTAAGGCTACCATTATGCTTCTGAAGGAGCTTTGTCCTACCTGGAATGCTGTACTTGTGAATTGATGATGACTTTACAAAAAAGTATTGCTTCAGAGCCTCTCTAAACTTGCTATGAATATGGGACGTAGCAATCCAAGTGTTAACCGCATTAACGTTTGCTGAAGCCAGACATGTATGGACCTGCAGTCCCTTTAGCTTCTTTATTAAATAGCTCTGTATGTAAATCGCAATGAATTGCAGAGAATTTGTTTTGAAAGTTCTGCCAAATCCTTATTTGTTCCAATCTTGGAATGCTGTAGTTTGTTCACCCTCACCCTGTAATGATTGAAGTGCAATGGATAAGCAGATGTTGGTATGTTCAGTAGCGGGCATAGTTGATGTGATTCAATGCAAATGTAAGCAGAATCATATTTCGCACTGCTTGCAAAAGTAGCTTAGTGTTGCTTTTCTGCACAGCTGCTACCATGCTCAACAAAGCAGACAAATCCTCCAGCTTAGTGATTTCAAGAGCCTTTTCAGTTTTTTGACGATTTTCAAGAATCAACAGTTTTTGCATCAATCTGCCATTGCTTATGGGCATTGACTCTGTGTGTTTTTTTGGAAAAGACGTTGGCGAGCCCATGAGTTGATAAAAGAAACCCATCAGCACCTTGATCTGACTATACAAGTCAGCATTCGTTCAAATAATTTGGTTCATCTTTGCCTTCCCCATTTCATCCGCATGAACAAAAACATGAAAGATGTCAAGATCATATCTAAGAAAGAATCAAGGTATATTCCTTGCATACTGGATAGACAGGCACCTTATGAGTGATTGGCAAGGTATCTAGCCCTGTCAGGGATATTAAATAAAGGCTTTAAAGTAATAAATCATATAATAACTGTTTCCTCCTGTCTCCTGGCAATGCCAATAATATAAGCCCTTGGCCTTTGTGCAAAGCTCGGTTTCGTACCGACGGCTTCAGGTCCGGTCTTCGGAAACAATTATTTTAGATTTAATTAATAAAATTAAAAGAATAATAATGAAAAACTGTGGATGGCGAAGGAGCAGCTTTCTCTCCGTTATAAGAAAGTGTCAAGCAAAACCATGCATGATGTCAAATCGCGATAATGCCAAATTGTGCCTAGCAAAATCAGAGTCAGCTCGCTGGTCGACGGCCATTTTGAAAGCGATGACGTCATCATTGAAAAATTGCTGACATCGTTAAAATAGTGATGTGTATATATCATTAGAAAGCTTTCGTTCAGGCGAGCCCGAATCTAGCATTTATATTGAAGTCAGACGTATACTTAAGAAGTTACAATGATTTTCAGTCTAGGAAACAGAACTTTTTGACGTCATCGGTAACGTGACTTTGATGAATTTTTGAAAATGTTGTAAGGGCTTAAATTATTCGTTTTACTATATTGTTCCATAATCAGCCGAGAAAACAAAGGTTAGGCAATGCGGTCGATGGTTCAGAGGAATGCCCTGCCTATCAAGCTGTCTCTGAAAAATGTTATCAACTCAATTATAAAAAAGTCAACGTGCTAAGAAATATCTGTAAATACCTTCTATAGAGCCGAAAAAAACTTTACAAAATCTAATAATCTTTCTTTTTGTTTTTTAAGTCGTTTGCCGCCCAAGCAGTTTCCATAACACATACCGTAAATTGCTTGGTGGTGCCATGACCCACTGCACACTTTATATTAATTTGCTCTGCTGACCCCCCCAATTGACATGACAGATTTACGGCCCTGGTGTGTCTCCAAATGCCACAACTCAAAAGTCACCATTCTATCTTCCGTTCTATCTTCATTCATTCATTCATTCATTCATTCATTCATTCATTCATTCATTCATTCATTCATTCATTCATTCATTCATTCATTCATTCATTCATTCATTCATTCATTCATTCATTCATTCATTCATTCTATCTTCCGAACCTCCGCCACTGCTTGTAATGTTCCAGAATCGAGCCCACCAGACCCGTCCTGCTACACTGAGCCGCCGATCACTCGCCCAGAAGATTTCCATGCACCCACCAGTATTCAGGGAATCTGAGGCCGCGCGTTTCTTTCCTTATCAAGCCCGGAGGCTTGACTTTCCAAAGGGGGGATCTGTTTTGGAGGCACACGCACGGAACTGGACACTACGCGTGATTTCAACGTGGTCAGTGTGTGGGGAAATTACTTGACATTTCGTGACCCTTTCGTTATAGCCATATTTGGTTATATGTTGATGTTTTGTTTTGTTGGTAGTTTTTAAGCATGCTCCACATCTTGCAGTCAGTTAGGGCGTAACATAGTTTTAGAGACAGCGAGACGTTGCCGATTAATTTAAAAGACGTTATTTTAGCCGAGAAGCCGACGCCGTAATAGTAAATAAAATAGATTAAAGATCACAGGAGAAAGAAGCAAGATGTGGAGTAGCAGAAATTAGACGAGTTAAAGTTAGTGTTCTGTTCATGTTGCTGAACTGGTTGTTTTCTTCGTATTGTCCTCTGTCGTAAGTTTATTTTATGATTTATCTTCCTTTAAAATTTTCAGTTAAACCCTATAGCAAAAGTGTGGTTTAACAATGCCCTCTAAAACCGAATCAGTTTCTCACGAAGTTATTTGTATGTAAAACTTAATATTTGTGTGTACACTAGAAGTATACACTTATGCCATAGTGCAAATTTGTACACTTGAATTTGCTCTGCCCACCCGAGATCTTTGTGTGTGTGGTTTTTCTTTCCACGTGAATCGGTTTGTTTCAATGTGAATCTTTTTTTTTGTATGCGAATCAGTTTATTTTAGTGTGTGGCAGTTATGGGTCACGGTAAATATGGCACCGTGTGGCACATCGAAAAGTAACGAGTCTCAACTCAAGGCCGCCTGCGCCAGGGGTGCAGCGGTGGCACTCGCGAAATCGAGTATTTTTCTCCGTTTTCGTATTGTTTGGAGGAGTAGCAGAAAATTGGGAGGGGGGGGGGAGAAGCTTCAAGAGAAAATTTGTTTTCTCCTTTCTATATTCCAGCCTCTGCTGCATTCTATTTGTCATTATCAAACCAAGATCATAAGATTGTTTCTGCTTCATCATTGTAAAGAAATCTGTAGCTGAGGCTAAACGCTTAGTATGGATTTTGCCGAAATATTGTTGCTTCATTGTCGTAAAATTACACAAATAGGCCTGAAATCTGATAAATTTTGCCTGCTTGAGTGGAGGTGGAGAAAGGCTACAGTCCCTATGTATTCTGCGCCTATGGTTGCAAAATATGTTACTTTGCTGCAAGACAGCATTCTTGAGAAATTGTGGATTCTTTTTTATTCTTTCCGTTGTTTCTTTGCAATTTTTCCAACTCTTTCCAACCTTCCTGCTTGTATCAATTATGTATGAAAAAACAATAATTCTTCTCACCACTATTTTAAAAACATGCCAAATGATTAATTATTGAAAATAAATGAGTCACCTTCATGAATAATTTTATGTATTTTTGTGAAAATGTTTTGGCGGAACGGAACTTGAAAACGGCTTTGGAAAAAGGAAACATTTCACAACATACCACATAAAGCTTTAAGTAGTATATTGTAAAACGTTTGTTTCTTCAAAAGCCATTTAAAATATATTTTTTGTTAGCTGGGATTTAATGTAGCAGAAACCTTGTAGTGCCAAACAAAATTCAAAGCGGCTGCATTACACAAGAATATCTCTGTTGTGAGTAGGTCATTAGATTGAGCTAAGATGTTTTTTCAAGCCAAGCAAGGCTGGATGAAGATACATAAGCTCTTGCAGATTAGGAATAATTTAAACAATTTGACAACCCACTGTTATTGAATATACTTTACTTGTTGGGGAGACAAGCGAGCGAAAATCTTCAAATGAGTGAGATAAACCTCCGTTCTGGAGTCAGAGAGTGTGCGTGAAAGTACCTTTGTTCAGGGATATACTGATGGGGGCGTGGGGGGCATCATAGTCAACTTACATTTTTGTGATATTGCAAATAACTTGTTATAAGTAGCAAGCTAATGCATATAATTCACCAATGAATGAAAATCTCAAAGATGAAGAGGATTGAACATGAAACGAGCCTAGCTAGTAAACATCTTAGTTTTCCGAATGCAGTGCTCATCACATCATGTTCCTAAACATACCACAATAATACATACTTTATGAGGTCCCCAAGACCTCAAAGCAGGGGGGACAATTTGCGCCCCTTAACCCCTATCTTGGCGGCCCCGTTTGGCATACTTGCCATAAAAGTCTTTAAAAAAATTATAACGTATAGGACATTTTATAATTTAAAATTATTGTTATGAGGAGCTCAAAAGTAGCTGTAATCTATTTTTGCGGATTAACCTATAATTGGTTTTTCGCAAAATGATGCTCGTGGATTCACCAAAGAATATGAAATCCACAAAAAATTGTTTCGGCAGGTTTTTATGTACACTTGGAAACCAGTGCAACGTAAATGGTGCTTTACACGGGCAATCCTTCTTGGCTTGTCCATGATGTTCACCACAGGCTTGTCTTTCCAACTTTTTTAACGTGTAACGACTGTTCGTACAGCCTACAACTGAACAGTTTCCGTTCACCATGCCGGAGTTTTGTACTTTTTTAAAGCTTTAAAAAAAGCTGTTCCAAATGAGCCAGGATAAAAAGCGAGTGAGTATTCAAAAAGTAATATACCAACGCCAAACTTTACTATCGCCGTAAAACTCTTTCACCCGGAACCTCGTTCGCGCGATCGAGGCCGACGACTTCGATTATAAAATAAATTGGTGTATTTCCTTATACTTTCACGTCATTATTTGCCCTTTTTTGTTGCCATTAATTAAGTGTGTTTATGATAATCAATTTTATTGTCAATAAATTTTCCATGGAGAAATAGTTGGCCAAAAAGGTATAGTTGGGCACTTTTTCCCGAACACCCACCCCCCGCCCTCTCTCAAGCTAAAATGTCTAGGCACACCACTGCCTTTGTTCCATGCGCATGCTCTTTGACTCTAAGATTGAGGGCTGCCTCACTCATTAAAAACTTTCTCTTGCTTGTCTTCCCAAAAAATATGTCAAAGGTATAGGATAACGTCACAAATACTTTAATATTTCATATTCGCCAACAAACTGCACTCTTTCCTCCGTCCAAAATTGCAGAATATGCAGAGTGCTGCCAAAATTGATAAAACATCGAACGACAAAAACGCACCTTCTGCACTGCAGCTGGCTACAACTCTCAATTAATATCTATATCATCACACCTTTTCATGATTTTATGGAACATTAGGTTCCAAAGGACTTCCCAAGATTTCCCACGATCTGGGAGTATGTACAAAGCCATGACTTGATATGATAAACATTAATGACCTGAAAGAACTTATAGCCCTTATACCCATGAATATCCAAGAACAGTTGTCCCTACTTATACAAAAACATGGAATGTTGTAATATAGGAATTTGGGAATGCTGGAATGTTGGAGTGTTGCAATAGATGAATCTTAGCCTTAGCATTGTAGTACCTCCTATACAATAAGTTCTCTTTTCGATGAACACAAATTAAATACAAATGTAGTTGTTAGCATGTTATTATAAAGGTTTAAGAAAATACATTTCAACGTTCCAGCATTCCAATATTCCAACATTGCAATATTCCAACATTGCAATATTCCACATTCCATGTTTTCAAGATAGCCCTTAAAAAGTGAAGAAAATTGATTTGTGAGATATCTTGACTCAGCTTGTTTTGCTAGCTTGGCAAGTAGGAAGTATGATAAAACATATCTCATCTTAGAATACGGCTTTAATGGAATTAATTTACTAACTCGGGAATAAAATACCAATGCAGTATAAAGGTAATAAAGCTCCCTCAGAAAAATTGCCATAGACATCAGAAGGTCAGTCATGCGGCTACGTTCCCACGTCACCGAGAGCGAGTTGGGCCGTTGGTGCATCGGCGAAAATCGCTCAACCTACCTTAAAAGGGTTACTAGGGAAGTTATACATTAACCTCCAAATATGATTTTAATTGGGAAGGAATGGACAGGAAAAGCCTCTTTTCCCCAATAATAGCCGATGCACCAGTCCTACCTAATAGCATCAGAAAAATGCTAAAGCATAAAAGATGCCTAAAGGTATGAGAGATTTTAACGATGCCATAAAAGAAATTCAACACACAAAGCTGTACTGAAAGAAACGAAATGAGGGAGGGAGGGCTGGGAAAATACCACAAAACAGCCTAGTTGTATTGTGGCTTCATCAAGCAAGATGGGACCCACGCTATGCCAAAACGTTAAATACCCCTAGATTAACCAAGGGAATAAAAACGCCACGAAACACACATCTAACCCTAGATTAACAAATCAAATTCTCAGGAGGCCGAAAACTCCCCGCATTGCCCCCAAACTAGTAGAGCAGGTACAAGGAAAAACGAGAGGAAGCGTGGCACAAGAAAACATAACGAATAAGTAATAATAATAATCTCAAGCGATCTAGTTAATGCTCAAAAGCCCCTCGTGAAATTAACTCTGATTAAATTTCATTTAATCATCATTTCATTTGATAATCATATGATTTGATGGAATTCTAATAAATGAATGCAAAATTTCCCACTTTCAATGTTATTGGAGATGCATTAAAAGACTACACAGACAAAGACGAACTTAATTATTCATCATATGATATGATATGATATGTTATGATATGAAATGAGGTTAGATTAGTGACAGTTAAAAGTGGATAGCAGCTAAATACCTACGCATGTCACCAGGTATACTCGAATGTAGCCACCAGTATATTCTGGCATATGGTTAGACTAGGAACAAAAAAATGACAAAACATCATGTTTTATAACTGTAAGACAACCAGCACAAATGCCATTCCGATAACTGCAGGGAAACCAAAACTAGCTTTGCTAACAGAACAGAACAAAATTTGGAAGAAGAAGCAAAAACTCTATCTTTTCAGCAATGGCATCTAGCTTTGCAAATTCTGTCATTCTCAGGTATGTTATGTAATATCCTCACTATTTCCGTTGCTGCACCTTAAACCAACAAAGAAGCCTAATCTAACCCTTAGCCTAATCTAATCTAACCCTTAGAACCCTAATACTTTAAAAAATAAACGGATTAGAAATCTTGCTGTTTTTGACGTTTTTTTCTCGTTGCTAGAAAAAAGAGAATCCCAAAATTCTAAGCCACCTCAGGTCGACACACAGGTAGTTCTACGATTAAACTGCTCGAAAGACGTTGGAAGTTTTTCTTGAAAAATAGGGGAACATTTTGATGCATTAGTATTGTGCAATGGATACGGTTTTGTGTTTGCTAATCAACTTTGAAAATTCGACAGGAGCCGTATAATTTGCATGAGTTGTACAGCTCTGGCCCAGTATGGCCGCTTTTTGCCATACAACTGACGAGGTGATGATTCAAAGAAATTCAATTTTGTCTATAACGAAGGTTCTGGTGAAGTTTTATGCTCGAAAAATTGTTTCCAATTTTAATGTTTGTGTAAAAACTTGCATTTCAATCCAT